TAATTTTGGGGTTAACTGGACGGGAACAGAGTGGAGTTGCAAAAACGATGTGCAGATTATCTCGTTTGGACAAAATACATGACGAGAAAGATAGGCTATATACTTTCTGATTTTATTGCTGTTCAGAGAACTCATTCGCCGACTGGTTTTACATGTTGCCGTTTGTTCCATCTTATCTTCTATATATCCAATTATCTTCCCTATATATCCAGTAGTGATAATAGAGCTCCCTCCCGATATTCGGTCCTCTTTATACTGACTACATACTAGTATACACACAAAAGTCTCAATCCGAAAAACCATCTTCCCGGCTCATAAAATGCATATGTATCTTTGAACTGCACAAGCTAAGGACTGTTGAGTGCTAGTGTGATGAAAAGATGTTCACGTTCAAGCTCTTATATATAAAATGATTGTGGTAGGTAAGTTTTCAAACTGTTGGGCGAATCGGAGTGGAGATTCGAGGGGCTAGAATCTGATCCTCTTACAGTGTGTACTACATGTCCCATAAATAAGGGTAACAGCAAGCGAAGGAGATTCTTTAGGTTATAAAGTTCCTCTGGTTCTTTCGTCCGCTTCTCCACAACTTGACCTACGAACGACGTGGAGCATGCTTTTATGGTAATGGCACCAGAGTGCGCAACTTAGTAGTGACTTATAACTTCTATTGTAACAAGAGACAGAGGCAGAATAAGACAATACAGATGATGCGGTTATTGTAAATGCTTCTTGCAGTATTGAGGAAGAAATGAGATGCAAAATTAAACTAATTATTGTAATACTTGTATATCGACAACAATAATAATAACAATAGCAACAGGGAAAACCGTCGCGATTTTCGATATCTCGTCGTATAGATTAGCTTCCATCTACCCTATACTCTGGACATTTCTGGTTAAGGTTTTGAAAGCAAAACTTATTTGAATGAACGGAACTCGATGTAGCTTATAGCCTTTTATATCATGGAAATGGAAAAGCTAGTAATTGAGGAAAAGATCCTGCTGCAACGAAACTCGATGTTGCTTCTAGCCTTATATACCATAGAAGATTCTAAATATAATAAGCTAGTGATTGAGGAAGGCATACTGGTAACTAATGTTATGATATATAACTATTAATGATATCTACACAAAAATTATATAAAACTCCCCCCATCAAAGATTTAATGCCTCACCATAAATCAGTTAGAGCATCAAAGGCCAAAATGCCTCCAATCTCACGGTCACAATTGGTGATATCTCAATGTCGGGATTAAAACAACCTGAATACACATCACATAATAGTGATTCTGAGTACAACTGTATCTGACCGAAGGGTTGAAATCTAGATATCAACATATTCAATACTGACAATGAGAAGGACAATGATAATGTAAACATTGATAAATAAAAAAGCCATGATTTTCATCACCATAATTGGCTATTTCACGTTAAATCTCCAATTTCTACCTCGATCAGTACGAATAATTACGGCACAATTTCTTTTCCTCAACAATAATCCAGTTTACGATCCTGCAATTAGCAATGAGGTCCTAAAGTAAATTCTTCCATCTTTAAACTATATGTATTGAAGAAGGAAAATTAATAGGTGTGAGGGAGGGGCGTTTATATAGGGTTCAAGAGGAATTATTCTTTTGATTCATGGACGAGTAGAATGGCTTGTTGGTCTTAACGGGGGTGAGATACTGGTATCCGGCGGATCTTTGGATTTTCACTTTACTTCGATGTATATATATATGTATATACAGGAATTGATTATGTACCGGTAGACAAGGTCGCTTAGTGATCTGCTAGAGTCTGTGAGTGGGGTATATAAGAATGTCTAGATATTGCTGGAATAGATTTAGATATCCAAAACGATCAGAACCGAGAAATAATCAAACTGTGAACAGATATCTACTTTCTCAAACCCCACTCAGTACATATATCATTCATAACCTTGGTATGGTGTTGTTGTCAAATCAAATGGTGAATTTTTATCAGTAGACCACGATAAATCATCACTTTCACTATCACTATCCCCAGGGCCCATCTCCATCTCCATCTCCATCTAAATTACCATCACTACTAGCACCATTATATCCACCAATATTCTTATCCTCATTCTCATTCTCATTCTCATTCTTATATCCAAATTACTCAACCTTTATCATAACAACAACAGCAATGAACAATTCCCCTCCTCTTCCCTCCTCCCTCTTTTCTATTTTCTCCCTAACTAAACCACTCCAACTCCAACAACAACAACGATTTCAGCGCCGGTGTCTAAGCTCTAGATCAGATTCAATTAGAATATGACACGAAACCTGAGCTCTGCTATCTTTGAATTTTCTGATGTTGGAGGATCTAGAAGAGTAGGTGAGGTGAGGTGAGGTGGAGGTTTTCTATCTAGGGGATCTGTGGTTGGGAGATAGAGAGGATCTGGAGTGGGGTAGGGTGTGATGTGATGGAAAGAAAATAGGGAGGAACGAGGAAAGAGAAACAAGCTTGGAGGTAGGGAGGGAGTATGAAGGATAGGTGTTATTCTTGAATGAGTGAATGATGGGTATGAGCTATATATATCCTGTGGTCATATCACCTTCACAATCATCAGCCAGAAATCCAGGACATTGATCTGGTAGTTGGATAAGATATGCAACAAAAGGCAAAGTCCTATACTCAAGTAGCTTTAAGATATATACTATAGCATACCATCTCTCAAAACCTATTCTATCCTATTCTCACATTTTAGATATACAGCAGAACACATATTGCTTGCTACATTACTGTATAGTATATACTGACTTATAAGTTATATCCAGGAATTCAACAAGTCGCTCGATAATCTACGAAAAGAAAGTTTAAGAAACAAATGTCTTTCAAATTTATATACATCAGTTTCCCCAAAATATATATAAACAGCCAACCGCGAAACGCAGACAGATCTTCCCCATGGTTCAGAGCAAAACTTACATTTCCTGTTTCTCCTCGTTTTTTCAGCGAACTTCAAATCATTTATTAGTTTATCCCCCAATACATTACCCCTTTGATTTAGCTTGCATCCACTAAACCCTTCAAAAGCTTCCACATATCATGTTATGTCACGCTACTTACTCCTACTCCCTCTAAACGCCTCCATCCCAATTTACCTATATTCACACTTTCTCCTTTTCCTCTTCCTCTTCCTCTTCCTCGTCGCCTTTTTTTCTAGAAACGATAACAGATAATGAGGTACTCGAGTACCGGTAATAGTTAGCTCAATCCTCGGTGAAGCATTTGTGTTCGGAGATGCCATCATAAATTAATAATGAATTGAAGGACGAAACCTTGTCTTCTGTACTGTATATTCTACCATAATCTTTGCTCTCTCAACCCCCTCTTTCCTCTTCTCGACCACTTTCTCGATCACTAGAACGAGAATCCAGTCCTCCAATCTTTACTCAAGACTTTCCATCCACCATCTACCATCTACCATCCACCATCCACCATCATCAGCTCACCTGGCCTAGCCCCATTTTCATTCTCAAACACAACTGTATACATCTCAATTAGTTTATTATTATGCCACTCCACTTCCTGTCTATTCCTGTCATTCTTTCCACTTGTGATTCCTGTTCCTAGTTTTGATTTACTTTTCACATACAACTGTGAATTTTCACCAATACAGTAAGGATGGAGAAACGAGGTAATCCTATAGTTTGTTTGCCTTTCCATGATTAATTCAGATTGCTCGGTGAAAGGAGGAGTGGAGGAGAGGAGAAGAATGCATTTGAGATGCAATGACTTGGGTACCAGCCAATACTCAGTAATAATACGCCGTAAATGGTTACCAAAAGGAGCGAGCAATGTAGCGGGATAGCTAGGTCGGTGAGAGGTGCTGCTAGATGGTTTGTATATACGGTCAAATTGGTATGTGGTGATACTCGTATACCGTTTCTCGAAGCCTTTTTGTATATTACTTTGCTCTCGAGTATATTATTCATATTGACTGACCAGGATGAATAATATGAGATCTTACAATCGTTATTCAGACCGCACCACCATTTCTTTTCTTCTCCCAAGTTCTTTATTTATTCCCTCAGCTCTTCGGAGTTAGAGGACCAAGATAATAACTTCACATAATTATTGGACTTCACTTGATGGCAACATATACAGATGGTTTTTTGATGTTTATACGGTAACCTTACGGTACTTTGTTTCTTGATACTCCTTCTCATTACGCCACCGATGAAATTTAGCTTCACTTCAGCCACTGAATCATCATTATGTGGGTATGAATTCTACTGAGCGGCATGCCACTTGGATGGAAAAGCATTTTTAATATCTGAGAAAGAACATAATACTTCAATCGGCAACATGGGAGATGGACCATAACTATGGGTACCTAGGCTGGTAAACTCAGTTGCTCTCACGACCTAACCATCCAAGTCTGAGAGTAAACTAAACCACTGAGTCACTGAGTAACCAAGTATCTAATTAGATATCAACTCAATTAGACACGCGATTCAATCATCCAATCAGACCATCGAATGATTACAAAATTGTGGCATGATTGGGTAAATCTATTATTGTAATATCAAATTCTTTAGTTCATATTCAGTTTTGGGTGTTTTGAGTTAACAAAATCAAATAATTCCTCTCTGTTAATGGTTGATGGATGATATAGAATTGCGTGTGATAGGTGATGGGGGGAAAGGGAAGGGAGGGGAAAGGTACGACAGGGGTAGATTTCCCCGCATTTGTCTGATCCCAAAATTAATCCAAATTGGGGAATGTCCTTCTATAGCTACCCCGCATTTCATCAACACGTGAGTAATCATAACGTGGTGATCTTTCTCTTACTCGTATGACCTGAGCTCTATTTCATTTATTTGATACTTCTTCTCTTCTTCTTCTTCTTCCCTTCATCATCAATCAATACAGAAACATTTCATCAAAATCTCAATCATCTTCCTTAAATCTTCATCAACAACTTCATTAAATCAATATCAAATCATTTTGTCAACTTCTTCAGTCGCAATCATGTCAATCCCAGAAGTTCCTATCATCAAAGTGTTATTCACACTTCATGCTGGCATGGATGCTTTAGATTTTATCGGTCCTCTTGAAGTCCTCAGCCGTGCTCAGCATGATGTTAATGATCCAAGTGAGTTTCTAAGTTTCATCAATTCAATGGTATAGTTTTTGAGTGCATTTAAGTTAGAGTAAACATCTCTTTGTTTTATGGTCTTATCACTTCCACCACCACTGTTTGAACATTTACTGACCTCAATCTTCAATTCAGAATCCAAGGCATTTGATTGTCAGTTCGTTGCTGCCGAGGAATATACTGTCTCCAATCAAGGAGCTTCATTCCGTGCCCATTTCAACTATAAAGATGCTTATGCCAGTCTTTCACAATACGATATTCTCATCGTTCCAGGTGGTGGATCTGATCAAGTCCTCAAAAACAAAGCCGAACCTCTTGGTCTCATTCGAGCCTTTTCCGATTTGCAAAAGAAGCATCCTGAGAAGGAACGTACACTTCTTTCCATCTGCACCGGTTCTCTTTTCCTTGCTCAACAAGGTATCCTTCACGGTCTTTCCGCCACCACCCACCCAGATTATTTCGCCAAGTTCGAAAATATCAATAGTGAAGCTGCACAAAGAGACTTGGCAGAACGTTGTGATGTTATGGAGGAACGATATGTGGTGAACAATCTTCGATTTGATATTGATTCTCCAGAGGAGAGTCAATATGTTCGTCGCAAGTCTGATGCTAGACGTCCATCAAATGCTCGTAAGGGTTCAAATGCTTGGAAGGAATCCAACAATCGTCGTGAGAGTAATGCACGTCGAGCTGCTCTACGTCTTGGTGGTCTTCGTGTGATTACTACTGGTGCTATTACCTGTGGACTTGATGCTAGTTTGTATCTTGTCAGCGTTATGGTTAATGAAGAGACTGCTGCTGAGATTGCGAAATTTATGGAGTATGAATGGAAGAAGGGTATTGTTGTTGATGGAATTGACATCTAAGGCGTTGTGGAGTTGATATGAAAGAAAGTATTGTGCATAAAGCATAGAATACAATGGCTTGTTGGCTAGATAGATAGCTTCGGAAAGGGATCGGAAATGGGATGGACGGACGGACGGAAATGGGTCATGACGTGAAATGATATGATATGATACGATATTTTGATGGATAACTTAGCTACCCTTTACAATCTCAACTTTTTGCTTTCTATTCTCTGTCGTATCTATCTATATGGTATGATGTAATGGTATTGGTATTTTGGGTCGAGATATGATTCACTCTCAATCCATTCCAAAATCATATCAAACTCTCGCATGTCGAAACCAAGTAGGACTCAAGATTGATACCCCTCTTATCATCCCGTCTATTCTTTTGAAAGTATCAAAATATTGACGAGAGAGCACTACGTACCCCCCTCTCACTTCATCTCATCTCAAACCCTAGACTCAAATATTTATCCATATCGGTCCGCTATATTAGTCACTATTTACATTTTATCTCATTCTATTTTCTCGTCTCGTCTCGTCGTATCTCATCTCATCTCATTCTATCTTTCCATTCTTTCTATCCATCTATTATATCCCATCTCATCTTTTCACCTTATCTCAATGTATCATATCTTTTCCTATCTTCCCATCTTCCTATCTTTCTATCTTCCTATATCCTGTCTCATCTCATCCCATCCCATCATATCTCATCAACTCCTACTCCCTATTATTATCACTATAGTAAGGTAGAGAAGAAAGAAAACAATAGATAAATATATAAAGAAGGGATGATATAAATATGGATATGGATATGGATTTTAAAGAGTGAAATAGAGTACTAAGATAGGATAGGAAAGGATAGGATAGGATATCATATTGATGAATGAGTATTAGTTTATAAGTCTATTAGTTTAGATTAGAACTTAGAAGTATGGATGGATACAAATAGGGAGAGGAGGATGGGCATGGGAGGATGGGAATAAATAGGGTAGTGAAGGGAATTGAAGAGGGGGACTAGGAGGAACAGGGGGTTGGGAATAAGGATAGTCTGAGAGGGAGGATACAAATGGGGATGGAAGGAGGGGGGAAAGGATACGAGGTGATGGGGGATGGGAATAGAAAGTTGGGAATTCAATACTTATAATGTAGATTCTAATCCAGTATTCAGTATTTGACATTCAGCATTCACTCACTCACACACTGGCATTTATAATTCATATCCCACACTTCCATCACATCCCACACATCCCTCATTTCTCACACTTCTCTCCTTTCTCTCCTCTCCTTTACTTTTCTTAGTACTATATAGCATATAGCATACCTTCATAATCCTACCCGAGCACTGCCACAGTTGCAACAACCCCCGACTCCAACTCTAACTCCAACTCCAAACCACAACTTCTTCCTCCCCATTATATCATATATACAGGTACTTAAGTACGGTACTGTACACAATTCCTGAATAATCAAATCGATTCGTCAGTCACTCTTGCTGTGACTTTTTGTTTTTGTTTATTATTTTCCTCTTTTCCTTCCTTCTTCTTTATCTCTTTCTATCTCCCATATTTCCCGATATATTTTCCCCTCTTTTCTTTTTCTATATCTTTCCCTTCTTATTCCTTCTTTATATATTTTCCCATCTTTTCCCCCTTTTCCCCCTTTTCCATCTCCATCTTCTTCTCTTTATTTTCCATCCCTTCTCCTTTCCCTTTTCTCCTAGTTCCCTATCTTTTTCACTCTAGTCATAATTAAAATCATAATCACAATACATACTTCTACTCATTCTACTCATACTTCATAATAAATCCCATTCATCCATCCAACCACCCACCCAACAATAATCCTCACAACTATACTATACCTACTATTCTCGACTAAGCTAACTTATAACTCGATTAACTAACTCGATTACCTTATCGTCTTAATAACCAACTCCAAGTATACTAGTAACTCGAATACTCAAATAAATAATACTCAAATAAATAAATCTTAATCTTACTACAGTAGTACTCACATATATCATTCATACATATATCCGATACAGATTCCAATAAAATAAAACACTCCACTCCCCTCCACTTGCCCTGGCACTAAGCACTGGTACTGGAATTAGCACTAGCACTGCCACTGGCATAGAATAAAATCTACTATGTTAATGATGAAAGAGTAAATACCGAGATACTAGTAGATTTACAATAACTAATAACTAATAACAAAACGATTGATGAGTAATGATCAGAGTAGGAGCAGGAGGATCAGAGTAGGAGATAAGTATAGTATAAGTATAGTATTTGGATGTAGATTTGGGTTTGAAGAGGAGAGGAGAGGAGAGGAGAGGGGTTGTAATATTGGTGATTTGATGTGATTTGATATCCATGTGATATTCGTATGTGGAAAAATGTGTGGATGGATGAATGAATGAATGTAAGATTGTTCAAGATATTGATGCATTTTCAGTGGGAGACTGCTTTATGGAGAATCATTTTCATAATTGATTTCCAGCGATGAGTAATACGAAGACTTCATTTCATATTCACTTCTCTTCTCCAGTGCCATATATGCAACCACAATTCCCATCATGTTAATCAGTTTCATTAAGATCATTAATCCTCTATAAACTCATCTCAAATCCCACCGACTCCGACTCCATACCCCTACTCCTCCCCATCCATTACCCCATTCCATTACCCTCTTCTCCCCTCTAACCCCCCCCACCAACACCATCCATATAATCTAATGACCTCCCGTAGTAGGTAATCCCAACGCCACCTTAAAACTATCATAAATCAACCACTGAAACGCCGTCAACGTACCAATCATCACTATCCTAACCGGCAATCCATTCCACAATCCCTTAAACCCAATATTTCCATAAATTCTCGTCATAGCTTTCCCAGCACCTTCCCCTGCCTTCCTATCATTATTTAATTTGGAAACCATGACGTCTGCTGGGTGAGAAATCACGGCGCAGCCAATACCAGCAATGTAACCTCCGAGGAAGGAAACTCCCGTTTGTTGGAGGGCGGAATAGTAGGCTTTGGGTTTGCCGAGGGAGGAATAGATTTTGTTGACCGTGGTTTCGAAGGTTGCGAATTTTACCATGGTGTAGGGGATTTGGCGAGCCCAGAGGGGGTAGAGTCCTTTGTAGAGTCTGTTTGATATTGATTAGCTTGTATCCCCTAATAATGAAATATCCCTAGAAAATAAAACCAAAGAATACATACCCTCCATATCCCTCCTCCCTAATAACCTTCCCCATCCCCTCCCTCAAACTATTTGCAAACGGCGGTAAACTCGTCTGCATCCTCACCTTAATCGCCTCAAAAGGACAAAGTGCCATATCTGCCAAAAACTCCGCACTAGCACTAGCCCCCAAGAAAATCGCCGTCTGATTCGCATTTGGGAATAATTTCTCGCCATACAGATATTTGAACCCCTCATAAAATCCGTATTTTCCACCCCCTTGGAAACAATATCCAACGAGTGTGGGGGACCAGCCGAAGAATACACCGCGCAGTCCTTCGGCGCGGTAGATTTTAGACCAAGCGCTGAGGTTGGATTTGTAGAGTTGGGAGTCAACTTGTCGCCGGCATTTTACGAGGTCGAGGGGGGTTACGGCGGTGTGGGTGGGGCCGCAGGCTGGATGGAGTGGAGGGGTTAGCTGGTGATTGTTGAAGAAGGGGGAGGGGGAGTGGGTGATAAGGGTTGTGAGTCCCTTGGTGAGCCCCTTGAGAGGAAAGGTAGAAGACGTACCGATTATTCCACCAAGTCCACAAGCTACAAAGTATTTCCCGCTGTAGAGCTCGATTTTGGGTTGCGGGATGGCTTTTTCGAGAGAAGGCATTTTGATGAGTGGTCAATTGGTTCGTCTGGGGAGAATTGGTGGTTATTTGTTTGTGACTGAAAACCGGAATTCCTTTTCGCAACTGCCCTTACTTCGTAGCTTTTAATAACCCTGAGGAGAGAGCAGAGTGGAATTAGATGAGATGTGAACAGAAGAGAGGAGAGCAAAGAATTAAATACAACAGATAGAAGAAATAATTTATGGAAATAACACAGGAAATAGTGGTTCCTATAGTTATTTTCGTAGTACAACGTCGAATGGGTCCTGTTATGTTCCTTGATGAGCTTTCTGATGCCGAATTTCTAGCCCGATAAACAGGGGTAGCTAGAGGTTACGTCATGAGAGGGTATAGCGGATGAAAGTCGGAATTTACTCATTTACCCGCGATAAAGATTGCGTCTAGGAGAAAAGGAAAGTGCGGAACTTTCGGATGGAAGGATAGATATCGACGAGATTGTCCTCTGACGGTGGACAATGTGATATATACTAGGTAGGTTATTGAAACGGGGAGCGGTAGAATGGAAGATGTCGGGGAGAAATGATCTAAAATCACGTGTGTGACATTTCCAACTTGTTTGGTCCAAGCTTTGTACTCGAGTATTTCATCTGGTCATGTTTTCTAAGCTTCACTTCAGGAAATCGCAAGTTCATGTAACATGTTATTACATCGTATCTGGGAACTAGTGTTCTGAAATTGAATGTAAAATGGAAAGTAGACTTCAAGTGTATACTTTCTGTATGATCTTTGCAAATACCGGTATTACTTGTTGATTTTCGGGTCATTCAAGGAAAGAATCGTTGACATAATCGTTGACATAAAAATCACTGCAGTTGCATGTTAGGGAGGCTGAAATGAACTTGCTATTGAGTTTTCGTCGTCTCTTAAATAACCAGTATCCTGGTATGAAGACCCTGGAAACTGAGAGTCGTTGTCCCAGATTGTATGAACCGTCCCTCATTGATGTTTTTACAAATCCTATCATTTCCTCAAAGTTTCCTTTCTTAAAAAACTGCGCGTTATCCCACCAATCTCTCATGTTTCTTGTCTCCCAAAAGAAATCCGCGGTAGCTCACCAAACTCTCAAATACCTTTTCTGCCAAAGATCACTCCCTTCGTTCCACCACGCCCAATAGCCCTGAATTCCGCTACATTCTCTGAGAACACGGCTCTCCCTTTGCATGTTCGTGAAATTGGCAGTATGGAGGGATTCTGGGGTCTAGGTATTTTATTCCCACAGATTGTGCTCTAAGCCTTCTGAAAACTTCATGTCTCAGGTCGTCGTTGCGAACGAGAAACGAGTCAATATCTTCTGTTGGCCAATGGTTGATAGTAGTCTTTTCTGGTATTGAGCACAATATGAAGCATATGCAAGAGCAAATGAGTCGGAACAATCCACAGGACTTGCGAGGTGAGTAATCTTGCATCTTTTGCAACATTGGAATATCAGGTATCCATTTATCCCTCATAGCGAAAAGAGCGGCATCCAATATTTGGTCCATAAACTTCGGAAGACACAGTTTGTCTGCTAGCGAGTATAGTTCATGAAGCGACCAGTTGAAAGGATCACCGTGTTTTTCATTAACCACAGGTAATTGGCCTGAGTAGATCCACTATTATAGACACACCATCAGTACGCAAAAAGTTAATTGAATAAACGGAACAAGTCTCTATTTGCCATAATTGACATGATCTAGAAAGAAGATCTTCATTTTGTGGAAGATAGACAGGGGAGAGCTTTGTTCAGTGGTAGCCAGAGAATCCGTACTTACGGACATAAGTATATTAAAATCTTTGGGATCATTTTCGGGTAAATTTGTAGAATTTGTTGCACTCTCCAGAAAGTTTTCATTGAACATCTTTTCAAAATATAGAACTTTCTGGCAGAGAATCGACTTATGAACCTTGAAGTGTCCCAATTTCTCATCCGTTCCGACGTGAATATCGACCATTTCCGATTCTGCAAACCTGGATAGTCAGTACCAGATGATTCCCAGAGCCGTGAAATGGCCGCTACTTACTGTTGAATCTCAGATAATTTCTCCACACTGTTGTTGGCTGTGAATGTATCCATGTTGGCGCCTTTATCTCCTTTGACCACAGCAACAGTTTCCGATTTTCTCTTCCTCCAACCACTTGGCAAACAACGTTTTAGCATCTTGTTTCCGTTTCTTCGAGATGTTTGATGGTTATATGAAATCGAGCAAACGGAATGAAGGATATGGCCAGGCATAACGCTTACAAAAGTGAATACTCGTAATCGAACCTCTTCCATGCCGAGAAGATTCTATCTAGTCCTTTAATCTAGCAGTTAGTGTCTGCATGAGATTGAATATGGCGTCATCAATAGCTATGCCATTGACCCTCGGAAGAGTGAATTGGAGTAGGAAGGCGTAGAACGAATATTGATAATCTTCCTGTCTTATTTACGAATAGCAGGTAGAAGGGGGTTTCAGGGCGTCGATCTAAGTACGATCCTCGTCTCATTGGAATCATTGTTACGTCAGAACGCCGCGGTGCTGCAAACGATCAAGTACATACCAGATGTTCAAGCACATGACAATCAACGTGTTATAGTCTGTACATGCTAATTTTGCCAAACAAGGAGATATCGTATCGTAGTTGCAGCTACAGCATTGCAAAGAGTATACCCAACAGCGAGCGAAGATTTCATCTGGCCAGCTGTGCCATCAGATATTTGTTGGTAGGGAATCCCATTTGCTGTGCCAGGCCTCGCACGGTGCTTTTTCAAGGTCACGCATGCCCGGTTAGCTACATGACTGGTGCGACCCTCACAATCTCGAATCTTCCAAACCTCCTCTTCGACTTCACATCTCTGAGGTTCTCATTTGAAAGACCTACTTATCTTATCGTTGAGTGTTACCATCAATTATTTCGCGATAACTCTTCATTGTTAATTTACCGAATTTGCAATCAATGCTTTAATCACATCACACAAGCTTACTCGAACTCGATCGCCTTCTGCAATTGACATTCTTGGCGAATGCAAACGAAGTCAAGGTGAACACTTTCACTTTCGCGTGATACTCTGAGATACACCATATATGGTTATGAGCTTGGGCTTGATATATCCTAACATTTACACCACGCAGTTCTTTTGGTCGTCTGGATGCTTCAGCTCAACTCGGGCAGTCAATCACATATTGGTTCAACATCACCAGTTGAACATCACTTTGGTTACTTTATGATATCTACACATGATGGTAGAGGATAGTGAAGTGACAACACCGATGAGTTGCGCTCCAATGAATGGGCAAATCCATCCACAAGCCCCAGATAATCTGAATACCATTATACTTCGATATCTAAGCACAACATCAAATCCTTGTCAGCTAAGTGAAAGATTTGCTGTTCTTTTGTTGAGAAGGAGAGCAGTGTTCGATGCCAACCTCGGGGCCTTAATAACGAACCTGAAAGAAGGCAAAGCGTCAACTATTGAACATGAGAAGTTCTCAATTCAGTGTCAAAGGATGTTCCAGCTACTTGAGACACGTAAGTCTGCCGCGCCACCACCCATCATGGTGGGCCAGAAAAGGAGTATTCCAGCTACGGCCACGCCTGCTGCAAAACAAGCCAGGTCAGAGATAGTGATAGAAGCAGAAGACCGGAACACAGAACTTAGAGAATCTGACGCAGAAGCAATCACAAATAGGGACATCGAAAAAGCAGAAGCTAAGAACAATCGAGTCATATCCGAGCAGGAAGAATTCGATGCTTTATGTTGTGGTCGCCTCGACAAGAGACCCCTAAGGTCCAAAAGTAAGTCATAATCTATATACCTACCCTTATCACGCCTGTCCAAGTATTTGTGTATCAGAGAAGTCGGATCGAAAATGGTTGATATCTCTGTGGGACCACAACAAAAGGTTTTCCATATCGATCGAGACATTCTTTTCGACAAGGTTCCATGTTTTCACACGATTTTTTGGGATGATTTCATCCATGGATATGAGCTCAAGGCCTCATTCCCCGAAGACGATCCAGAATCATTCGACATTTTTACTCGCTGGGTCTATTTTGATACTTGATCGACTCTAAAGTGGGACAAACAAAAGTGGTTTAGCTGGGATATCACGAAACTTTATGGATTTGTGAATAAGTTCTGTTTGCAGGGACTCATGGATCAAATCCTCGATACTTACCTACAAGTATGTGCGACGAACAATATTTGCCTGAGTTCCATATACCTGGTCAATAATGTCTACCAGATGACACCGCTGGGTTCATCTCTTTGCAAACTCACAGCACACTCTTTATACTACAACTTTACCTGTACGCGTCAAGAACGTGCTGTAGCTGCTTGGCCAATAGATCATCTAGCAAGGGCTATGGGGTCCCATCAAGATTTTGCAATGGATTTCTTGAATCTTATGAGAGCACAACTTCCGGGTGTTTTTGCTACGAATCCGACAAAAAGACCAAGATGCGATTTTCACTGGCATGGAAAGGACGAGCCTTGCTCTCAGAAGCCCACAGAAAACCTCCAAGATATCGAGACGATTGATTTGTGTGATTGATTGTAAGATTGGAGTCATACGCGCTACCTGGGACTTCGATTCGCTAGGCTTGTCTTCACCGCTATCTGATCTAGTTTGGTACTCTACGTTTGCGAAAAGCTGGACGGTAGGAATGTTACGAAGGGAGTCTCGCATAACATGTAGCTGATAAATGCTACAGATCCTAGTGCTGCGATGTACCCTACAATCCTGTGTTTCTCTTACACCTAACTAAATTCGGGCAATGGGGGCTTTCGGGGCTTTGGACCCATGTGATATATCGAGTTTTTGACTTTGTGATGGAGATAGCGGGTCCAGTGAGCGAGAGTTGTCAGTGGTAATAGTTTCTGTGGTGCATATGGTTTATTTTGAAGCCTGGAAGTTGTATCAACAATGTATGTCGTCCGAAATAGGAACAGGAAGGCCGGGTACTGTAGTCCCTAGGAGTACCAGGCATTTGAGTGGAATCATGGCCTTAGATGGGCAGAAATATATCTTTTCCTTCCCGCTCTTGTTCGAGATTTTCGATTTCATTTCTAGGGATAGTGGTGAAGGACTTTGAGTGCGTAGGTGATCAGTTTATGATTTTGATATGGGGAAAAGGGGGGATGAATGTTCCTGTTACTTCCTTTGTGAGGTGGATGGCTGTGTGTTCGCAAGGAATGATATGCGTGAATCTATCCTCAGATGGTGTTTATGGCCGGGATCTAGGCCCCTAAGTCCATTCATTAAGAGTTTAGACATGAGGTCCTGTCAATCACTAGAAAACCACACCCGGCCTCAGGGTAATGATGTCAAATACCACTGGCAAGCCAAGCATGGCCATTAGATAGATCATCTTGTGGTTCTTTCTATATACTTTCATTGTAAAATACAAAATACTGTTTAGCGACAGATTTTTGCTGTCTTAATTCGGGTTGATTGTCGATGTTGGTTTCTCATGTTCATGTTCATATTTATATTCATGTTCTTGCTACTTTTTGGTTATTGTTGCTATCACATTGTATCTCTTATATTCGCTTATACTTAAGGTACGTATAACCATCAACCACATTTTAATTCCAACCACAGAATCCTCGTATATGTATTCGTATACCCTACCCCCCATCCGTTCACATCTCATCTCATTCTATTCCCAACCTCAAACTCAATCCCAATCTGAATCCTAAATCCCCATTTGATTAATATCACTACCGACTAGTATGTTATATGTTATTGGAAGTTTAGCTCTTGACTTTTGGTTCTCAGATTCACTTTTACGAGTACATCATCTGAGTTTTTAGCTATGTGCAGCGTGCTAAGTATAAATTGATCAGGTAACTAACTGTAGGGAGTTCCTGGATATATGTTATTTTTACAACTCCTCGAGCAAAGTGGGACATGCATGAGTTTGTGCGTAGATGGGTAGTTTCTGATTACTCCATTCCATGGGCGATTATTCTTCATGGGGGGGGGGGGGGGCAACCTTCAATTTAGCTGCGAAAATGAGAAATAATCTATATGCACAGCGGTTATTTTCGTCCATATCTACTGGTATTGGTATTCATCACCGTTGTTTGATTTACTATCTATCACTGTCACTATTATTATAATCGTCATAATGCCCGTTATTTCCCCCCGTTATTCACAATATATCAGACGAATATGTAAACACTTACAATCAGTCAACCACCCATGATCTTAGCAAATCACTTTTTGTAAAAAGAAAATCTCGCTCTCGCTCTTTCGTGATATTTCAAGAAAGAAAGAAAGAAAGGTACTCCACCCATCCAAGAACTTCCGCTCTTGTTGTTATTTGTTGTTTGGAAAAAGAAGGGGGTTAATCATGCGTGGTATGGATATTTATACTCGAGCATAATATCAATAGACTATGAATCGTAATGGGGTTTGAGTTTTGAGGTTTGATATCACTGGGATGTTGGTTTTTTATGTGGATCAAGAGATCGAAAAATGTATGTAGGATGGGTCCGGAAGCTGTAAGACGTGTTGTTGATATTTACAGTTATATTTATTTCATTCTGATTTTGTTCAGATTTGAGATTCGAGGTTATTTTGTTACTAATTACGGCAGTTTTGTGTATAAATTGAATCGATCAGTTTGATGTTTGAGAAGTCAAATATGGAATTGGTTGCCAGTATTCGAGAATATGATGGGTGCTTGAGTTAGCTCTTGGTGGTGTAAACTCAAGATAGCAGATTTGTAAGCCATGGCTATGGCAAGAATTTGATAAATGTATGGGAGTATTTATGAAGAGTTGCTGTTGTTAAAATATTACCGTTGTTGATTTGGATTTTGCAACGGTCTGTTTGGGGACTGACAATTATGATGATAGTGATCATACTGGTTGTGGCAGTATAAGTGGTGTTGAGATAAAATCACCGGTGTCATGTTCATGTATACGAATTCGACAGTGAAGAGGTGGCCAAGAGGTCGAAGATATTAATATCATGAACGGATGTACTCAAGACATGGGTCATCTGACTAGCTCGATTAATCTGCAGGATGTCATTCCTGTATAAACTGTATCATTGATAGGCGATACAGTTATATTATCAATGCTGCACACAACGTAATGGACTGAGAGTACAGAAACAAGTCCTGGCCTGAATACTTGGTGATATTATGCAGTTACAGGAAATAAGCACAGAAGATATAAAGAAGTAGGTGAAAAGAATTCAGGAGCTATGTTTACTCTGTGACGGCGTAGACGAAGTACAATGTAGAATAAAGAGCTATGATATGAAACTTGGAAATCGCTGATGCTGCCGAAAACAACTTCACAATTGTTTGGCTGGTGTGGCGGTACCAGCCAGGCCTTAGCTTTGGTAAAGGATCTGCGCTTCTCATGGTGTTATTAACATAAGGCAAGTGAGTCTCCGAGCATGTTATCAATACGGTCTTCTGAGACTTTGGTTGTAGTGGAAGGTTTTCCTTTAATTTTTGTCGGAGGATATCATGAAGCTCATGGGCTTACGTAAGCACTTATCGCTTAGTCTCAGGGGAGACTCATGTCACACGAAATTGCTTGAGTTTTTTTTTAGCTATAGTCTTTCAAGAAAAGTGTTGAGGATTACTCAGTGGGCTATTAAACATATTTTAACTCGTGAGGACTGATTGCAAATTCATTACATAGGGGATTTGGAAATGCAAAATTCAAAACTAGATACAGTAGATTTGACCTGAGAAAATGACCTTCTAGAGCCGTGGATTCATGTGGTACTATCTACGTTCTTTGTTACTTTTGAGCCTTATTGTCAAAAAAATGATCTGGCGGTCTCGTTTCTACTGGCTTGATCTTTATCGGGCGGCTCGATATCAACCATATGTGTCTTCAGTACGCATAGTTGGATGAGAATTATTTCACGGGTTATAAATTGCGGAAGATCCCTTTATTTCCGCTAGGCTAGTATCTTTGTTTCTTCCACTATTTGGAATATATGTCTTCCATGCTAATATGCAGTATCTCTAGTACTCATGACTCATTGTCATATCCATTCTTGACTCATTGCCAGACAATGTAGTGCTGATTCTCAATCCAAGGGACTAGAAAAAGAATACAGGAAGGATTAACATTCCCATTTCTTGACGATCTCTATGGTAATACACTGAAGATTATTATCTGACTATACCATAATGGGTTAGAGTTCCTTTCCGAAACTTTTGATCTATCAGATGAAACACCCGGGCGTGAGTGCCTCCGCAATGGTCTTTCCTACATCACTTCTCCCACCATACTCATCAAATTCATCTTAATTCATTTTCAGTGTCAAGTTACTGTATTGGATCATGAAATGAATTTGATATAAAGCCCAAGAACTGGGTCCGGAAATGAGTTTAGTATAATGTCACGGTACCTGAGCCAGAGTTCTGTTACCTTATATTTTATAAATGCCCCACATCAGTAAATGTGATTTTTGTTAGACTCTACTACTCATACTACTATTTATCCCCCCAATTCTCTCTGTCTTCCACATACGACCATAGACTAAGGAGAATTGGGCATCCCGTCCGCTCTGCCATACACAAGCCTTAGATCGGCAGATTAGTAGTTGGGTGGGTGACCACCAGCGAATCCCTGCTGTTGTATGTATTATTTTGTTCTTTTTTTTTTCTTTTACGAAGGGCTGGCTCCATGTGGGATTATTTATTAAAAGATTGTAAAAGCTGCTGTATTCTTTATGAAAGCTATTGAGTATTTAATTAAGTATGTGTATCATGTTGGTTCTTGCCCTTGTCATATCATGTAGCTTGCGCTACTGACGTCTGCTGTCTGTGGCTGCCGCCACGCTCTAGTTCGATTCCTCTGGGAAACTTGATACAAAAAATGCTCAATATCTTAACTATAAAGATGATAAAAGATTTTTGATTCAGTGCGATAGTTTGCGTTTCATCTCTTCCTTTATATATGATGATAATGTACAGTAATTTGGAGGCATATAATTTAACATTTTGTAAAGATAAAGACAGTATTCTGGCAATTCAACTAGTGTTACTAATTGGTATCTAAACCATAAGTCAACTACTCTACTTTCGGACCACCCTTTTACACCAAAAACAGTAGTTTTTCGATATCTATAATTCTATCAATATTGAATATTATTATATAAAATTTAAACTATAGATTCTTTATATAGTTATTAGCTTGGTTACAATTTTT